GGCAGGTGTGCCTGTCAGGGCATGCCCCGCCCAACCCCCGCTCTGCACCGCTTCTCCCTCTTCCTTTCTCCTTTCCTCCTTTCTTCCTTTCTTTCTTTCTCTCTCTCTCACATGGACCACCTTTCCCGTTGCTCAATGTATCACCGGCATGCATGCCCATTTCCCCTCCTGTAACTTACCATCCCTATATCGCCGCCACCGCTGCCGCACTCGCCCCACACCCACAGTGGGCCCTCTCGGGATCTCCCACGGAAGCACCCAGAGAGCCATGGCTGTGTGCGAGGGTGATGTGGCACACCCCACGTGACTGATCCTGCATGTATATAATAACAGCTGGAGTGGGAACCGAAGAAGTAGCCTTCTTCTCACATTCCCACTTCAGACTAAGTGGTCGGGGACGCTCACCCCACGATGGGATTGCTGCTACGCACAGCCACTATTCGTCCCACCAAGTCCCGCACGCTGGGACCTCGCCGCTTTCGGAGCTGTCCCTGACAGTGCCCTGACAGGGTACCAAGTGAGAATAACTGAAAGAATTTATCATATCTCGCTTGATACTTAACCAAGTGTTCTGAAAATTTGCATGGTATTTTGTATATTATCAACGCAAGTACATAATATTTTTACATATTTTTAAAACACCTGTGAGGTGCTGGAGAACGTTTCCCACGCACAGATCATCTGCAGAGCTGACACTGGATTGGTATCTCTGTCAGTTCTTGACCATTTCTTGTCAAATGTCTTCAATGGGCCTGTATTAACCCCCTATTCATTTGTTATTATTAGTGCAAATCGTTAGGTAGTGTGTATGAGGAGGTGGAACGTTTTTTCTACAAATAAACCATGTACATTAGTATCTCAGTCAGTTCTCATTTGTTTTTCGTCGGGTTTCTTTCAGTGAGCTCGTACTAACTTGCTACCTATTTGTTATTATTGGTGCAAGTCGCGAATGAGCGTTCATGAGGCAGTGGAACGGTTTTTCACAATTTTTCACAAAAAAAAGCATATACATGAGTATCTCTGTCAATTATCATTCGTTTTTCACCGTTTCTTTTTGAACATGCTTGTAATAATGCCTTTGTTATTTTATATTATTAGCGCACATCGCGAATGAGGGTGTATGAGGCAGTGGGACGTTTTGTCCCATTTTTTCACACCCAAAGGACATGTACATGCATATCTCCATCAAGTCTCCTTCGTTTTTTGTCGGGTTTTTTTCAATGAGCTTGTACTAACGGCCTCTCCATCTAATATTATTAGCGTGCATCGTCAAACAGCCTGTATGAGGCCATGGACACTGTTTCCCATGCACACAACTTGTGCTAGGATGGGCTACCACTTGTATCTCCCTCAGTTTTCAACCATTTTTTATCAGGTTTTTTGCAACAGGTGCGTCATGGTCACTTCTCCATCTTTTATTACTACACCACGACAGGTCATCTAGTACAATTGTTAACATTGAAAACACTCCCACAGCTCAGACAACTGTATTGCTTATGAATTTAATTTGTATTGAACAATACATTCAACCTCACTTCATTATATGATGATGATTACCGATAAAAAGTGAAAGGGGTATGAATATGTTTCACAGGAAATCACCCTTAGAAATTGGCCATTCAGTGAAATTCTTATTATCAATACAGTTATATTATATTGCAATACAGTTCAATCATATTGCGATATAGTATGTTAGCGCCCAGCTATTCTGCGTTCCTCGTTGAGTTTGAGTCAGGGGAACACAACCTGGGGTCGAGCTTTGGCTACAAAACATATGCACTGGTCAGCACACGTTTGATCAAGCTCGTCGGGTTTGTGGGTTGGCAGGTTGTGCATAATGAGAAGAGATCAAGGGGGCATGGATTCATGTGAGGAGAGATAGAAGGAAATCATGGAGCATAGCTGCTCCTGTCATATCCATACATACCAGATCCCAATCCGACTCCTGGACCCCCATCTTCACCACCTCCGGAGTCCTACCCCATCTCCATCCACTCCGATACTCACCTCAGACCAAATATCACTCCTCTCGCCACCCTCCTCCTCTCACCACCCTCCTCCTCTCACCACCCTCCTCCTCTCACCACCCTCCTCCTCTCACCACCCTCCTGTCAGGGCACACACCCTGACTAGCCCGGACCCGCACCCGCGTCCGGACCCGCACCTGGACCCACATGTGCGCCTCCGCCCTGCACGCTCCGCGCGCCGCATGTTCCGGGCCCGGTTCCTACCCTTCATGTGACTTCCGGGTATCCCCGGAAGTTTTCGCCATATTGGGGCCACTGTGGGAAAGTGAGAAGTTAACCTTCTTCTCACTTTCTTACCCACAGTAGGCAAGTGTAGCCTACTTCCTATTTATCTATACACTTTCTTACCCACAGTAGTTATTTGTCAGGGACGGCTCGAGGAAGGCAGAGGTAGCGGCGTAACGCTCGGCGCTAGCGGCCCGGATGGCGGCAGGGCGGTGAGACCGTATAGTGGGTAGCCCTTACTTGGGCTCACGTCCCTGTGTGGCTTCTTAGGCTGAAGCGGGAAATGTATTGTTATTAGGGTGGGAAGCCAGACTAAACTAGGGTACTTGCCTGAAGCGGGAAATGAGAAGAAGGTTACTTCTTCGGTCCTGCTTTGGCTTAGTTTATATACATGTGTGAATGGGTCATGTGGGGTTGCCACGTCACCCTCGGACGAAGCCGGGTTACCATGGGTGGTTCCGCAGTCGATCCCGAGTGTTGGAGGGGAAGTACAAGTAGAAGTGCGTGGTGCATCCGGCGTTGCGGTGCCCCTACGGGGTGCTCAGCGTCGGACACATCCGTGCTACAAGGGTAGGAAAGAAAGAGAGGTCGTCTGTATAAAGATAGAAAAAGAGAAGAAGGAAAGAAGAGAGAATGAGGGGATGAGACAAAAGGAAAAGGAGGTGGCGGCGGTGGCGGCGGCGGCAGCGTGCCCTGACATTATTGCCCAGGACAGGCTGTTCACAGGTTAGGCTGTGGGCTATAGAGAGAGGGGTCATGGGGACCCAGGGTCCGTCCCCTGACACCTCCTCCTCTTACTCCTCTTATTCCTCACAACACCTCCACCCTTCTGTCACTCTCCTGCCCTACTTCTGTCCACTCTGATACTCACCTTCGGACCTGACACCTTTCCTCTCCTCCGCTCCTCTCTTCTCTCTCCTCCCTCTGACCCTCTTCTGCCAAACCCCCGGCAAGTTACGACCTTCCACCGCTGTCCCATACCCTGTACTCAGACACTGCTCGTACCTTCACTCTGAGATCCCGTCATAGTTCCAACCTTGGACTTTGACTCCACCTCGGCTTAAGTCCATTGCATTGGTGACCTCATACTACATAAACACCATTGCCAACATTCCTTGGACTTTAAACCCTGCCTCTGTAACCTCCATAAGCTCCGTAACCTCCAAGCTCCATGGATCATACCTGGCACTTTCGCCGCTTGTAATGTATCTTTCGCACATTCCCCTCATCCTTATTTAGACTGCTGCTTCTTCCCATTCCAGCCAGTTAGTCATCATCCCCACTTCACCTCATCTTCCTGCCCCTCTGGGCTTTGCCCCCCTATCTCCTTTCGGACGTACCACAGGTTCTAAACCTATGACCTTCAGTGCCACTCCGCTTTCATCTTCCCTTTGTCCCATTTGGACGCCTTTGTTCCGATTCGGACCCTCTTTGTTTCCTCATGCTTTCACCCTCTCCATTATATTATCGGTGCTTGTACATACTTGTTTTAGGCCCTTAGTCTAAAATCGACCTGAAATGCCCCCTAGAGACTTCCTGCTCAACACCTCTGAAATTAAGGACCAAATGGACAAACAGCAATGGCACAGTGCTCCGCATGAGTCGCTGAGGCCAAGGTCCCTCCTTGCTAAGTCTCTGGTTCCCCTCTGGAATCATCCACCCCTGCCCAGTTCTAACAGCTCCCTTGACATGGAGTACAGCCTCAACGTTGAGAGTAGGGAGAATAGAGTACTTGAGAATGGGACTTAGGACTGAAACATGGATTCACATACTTGATGCCTCGCACAAAGAAGTCCCGATGGCATGCTTGGTCACCAGACGAAAACAAGCTGTTCCGCAGGATGATGCTGACCCGTATCTTGCCTGAATGCGCCTTTGCCTGCGAGTTGAGAGAATATAATGCACCATACAATTGCTGAGATGGGTAGCCTGTGCGGTCTCCTGGATAGAGGTTTTAGACATTAGGACGATGAGATATTTCAGTTCTGCAGCAGTGTGCTTGGTCATGAGACGGTGGTGGTGTGCGGAAGTTCAGAGCTAAGCATATTCATGGTGGTTCAGCCAATCAAGAACTGGATCCTTTGGTGCTGCAGCCATCATCAATGAAGACCAGTTGTCATTACCAATGGGCTGGCGGCGCTAACGTACTGTATTGCAATATAATTTAACTGTATTGATAATAAAATTTTCACTAAATGGCCAATTTCCGAGGGTGATTTCCCGCGAAACATATTCATACCCCTTTCGCTTTTTATCGGACAGATTCCCTCAAAGCGCTGTAAGTATGTAATTATATATTATATATTATATGAATGAGATGATGGGTGAACACGTCAGATTCAGCGTCAGTTTTCACGTAATATTAACACCGGAGAGTGACCTGCTGTGCAGGTAACTCCATCGGTCTCTTCATTGATTTGCAAGATCTCGGACCCTGGAGAGTCCACCAATGCAACAGGAAATAACAAGAGAAAAACAATGATAAGTCGAACACCGGACGGACAGGTAACGATAACTACAGCAGCCTCTTGTGGTTCCACCACCACCAAATGGCACACAAACCCCCAATTACTACCAGAACATTCACACCGAGAACAGCCCCAAACAAATAGAAACGTCCATCCGGTGCACTCAACGGGAGATTAATGTTCATGCTGAAGATACCTAGTTGTTGAAACCGTCGTTCAGTCACTCACACACGCAAAATTTAGCAGGGAGACGCACCGGTAGCCACTTGCATGCAGTGATCTGCCGTGTGGACAGCACTGCGCTTCAAGAGCATTGAATCTGCTCATTCGTAGCCTGAGCGAGGTTCACTCCAAGTCCCGAAAAGTATGTTGGCTGAGAGTGAGCCAATACTCTTTCGTAATGCGCCAAAGACTGTTGCATTGTCAAGAGATGGTCTGCGTATTAGTGGTCCATCAGCCTGCCTGGACATCGACTCGCTAGTCAGTAAGCTCACCCTGGACGTCATCTAAGTGCGCTCCTGAGTCTGCGACACCCGTCAATCTATCCCGCAGTATCCCAAGTACCTCGTTCTTCGGGGCGAGGAGCCTTATGAGCAACGTCACGGTCCGCCTAGTCCGAGACATCCTTATGAGAGTTTGTGTTCTTGCCAACTTGACAGCACGCCACTTTGCCTGACCAGTCAGGCGTGGGCAGATAAGCCTCAGCCAAAGTTTCTTGATCCTGTGCACACAGGCGGACCCGAAGGACGAGAGGTAACAGCTGATAGGGCGAAACAGATATTGCAGTGTCGAGCATGAACGCTGGTATGTATGATTCCAAGCGCTACGACGGGGTTGGGACGTGGGCGATATCGGGAGTGACTCCTTCCTTTTCTCGTTGAGATCAACAATGACCTCAATCGCTTCAGGCTCGGCCTCACGGTGCCGGGCAGCTTTGGCGTGCTGAAGTGTAGTTTCCCAGTTACGGAGCACTAGATCCTCATCTTGCATTCCGGTAACAAGCCTATCGACATTTTCCACCTCATAACCGATGCGCTTGATAACAGGGATGAAAGCATCAACAATGGAATCCATCAAGCCATGCGTGATGTGGTCTATAGAATTGGTTGCATCATGAGCATACAAAGGGATGTTATTGGTAAATGCACCTGATGTCATGATTGTGGTGTCGTTATTCATCTGTAAAATTTTGCTCCTAACTCTATTGACATGTTCCGACAAATCCGAAAAATGGAACTGGCGAGATGCTCATTAGTGAGAATGTCGGTGTATATGACTTGGTCTACTCACCGAACAAATTCCTTCTCTAAAGACAGTGATATAAACGTTTGTCACATTAGGGATATCCTCCTCGTTTTGAGGTCGTCTATCATCCCCTAATTGTTCACGATCCCTCTGAGCTAGAGACTTGTTCAAATCTACGGAACGAATAACAACGAAATAATAACCCAAGCGAGGGAAGATCTCCACTTTTTCCCGTGGGTTTTGCTGCAAAATATCTTCTAATGTACGTGGGTGCAGATGAAGCAGCTGCAGAATGGAAGGTCACTACGACGGCCGGGATTCTTTACGTAAGTCAACGTACTGTGCCAAGCATACGCATATCTTCCCAAGTAGGAGAGGCCACATCAAGCCACCATGCTTTCTGCCATAAATTACCCAAAATAGTCGAGTCAACTTCTGGTGGAGTGCCGCTGGAGCGATTCCCTGTAGTAGCCTGCGTGGTAGGTTTTCGAGTGCCCAGATTCGTGTTCGAAAAATTACCCGTCCCGATGCCCGCACGAATGAGGGGCCTAGAATGATGATGTTTCGACGAGGGCTCTTCAGCGTGACCTCCTTCGCTCTTCATCTCGGGCACTGAGTCCGTTGACGCGGGCGACATCGACTTAGTCAGGGCCACGGTTACCGGGGGCACTGAGCTTCGTGAACCGACCCGTGGCGACGTAGTTGTAGTTCCACCTTCAAACGCCTTCTCTTCACATCGTGCGTGGGAAGATTCGGCGGGAGAGTGCACAACAGCTGCCGGTAGGAAATTTGCAGGTGCAGGCTTGGCGCGATGGAGGCAAGAATTCGCTCTAAGGGACTTGTGCTGCTCATGGCGAAGTCTATTAGTATCACGGAGAGCCTGCTCGATACTGGACAAAATAAGGGGTAGCGAGGTCGTTTGAATCAGCCGAGAAGTAGAGTCTTGCTGGGGCACTGGACGGCCACCAGGGAATGAAGAAGGTATGTTTTGAGACCGGGCTTCGGAAGCATTTGGCAGGAGCAGACTGAATTCCCGTGGAATCCGTCGAACGTTTTCAAGGGCTTGGCGAGCGAGTGCGCGCTGTGCTGAATCGGTGTTAACAGTAGAGGTAAGGATGTTGGGACATCGACGATGTCTGGAAGACTTCCACGTGGCGGCGGGGGGAGCAGAAGAAGTGGTAGAGGATGAGCTGGTTGTGGAGGCAGATGGTCGAGCCCAGCGAGGAATTGCAAGCTCCACTATGGCAGCGATGGCTCTTGCAACTAATCTGATGGACGCGGATGGTGTCGAAGGGGATGAATGCGTGCTCGAGGCTGTGTCAGGTGAACTAACGCGTACGATCGGACGGGGCGCCTCTGGGAGTTGGGGGGTTGAGCCACGGTATATCGCGCTTTCAGGGCTTTCAGAAGGACTGGCCCGCTGAAGCGGCGTCGGACCAGGGACACGGGAAAACCTGGGTATCGCTCTAACGAAAGGGCTAGTCAGAGACTGATTAGATTCCATTATGGGTTCGAGCTAGAATTAGTCCTCTGGTTGAGAACGCGCTGATTAATATGACACTAGGCTTGCAACGCACTCGCCATAAATCAGAGCACCGCAGGGCCAAAGATTGTAAAGGCCTTGATGGCTAACGACAAATCCCAAGCCAGCTCGACAATGGAGATTTCTGGAGCTTTGGGGATACCTCTTGAAAAGTCAACGGTAACGTTAATATTTTATGTGATGGTTTCTACTTTCCATGATGCGATTATCGCCAATACCCTTAACCTCATTGATGAAAAGTTTATTGCCGGCTTAGGCTTAACCAATAGTAACGCTGCGCTGTGTAAGAGCACAGCTTGTGATACCCTCAGTTCTCGATTACGAGCCTGAGTACGCGTTCGACTGGCTATTATAATAGCATCACCCCCCCCACTGAGAAAGCATAGAGTGAACAGCAAGATACGTACGGGTGCCAACAATAGTCTTAGATGCTAGGGTTTCTGGGAGAAGCTTCCGACGCTTTGGAAAGGGGCACGTCGACAATCGGAGGGTCCTTCGGAGTGCCCATTGCAGCGGGGGAGAAGACAGATGTCCTCCTGTCTTTAGAGTAACCGAAGCACCAGCCGGAGAATCAAGGATCGGGGAAGTGCTGCTGTAACACTTGGTGTATACTTGCGTGTGCTGGGTGAGGCCCTGGGCGACTGCGGAAGGAATATCTGTAACTGATATTGGGTGTGCCGTCAGGCCCGCGGGTCGAAGGTGAAGGGGGACAAGATATCATGGCATTGTAACCGCGCGCGGGGTATAAGTAGCTAGCGGTGTAGAAAAAGTAATAGATGGAGAGCGCATGGGACGCACTGCTACACGTGGAACGTTGTAGCGTTGCGAAGTAGTAAAACAAGTGCCCCGTGGAGCAATACCAATAACTGATATGCGTACCAGCACGTCGTCATAGCTTGTTCGTACAACACCCCTTGTGCTGGTCATCGAAGAACGGCGCGGTATCGAATAGAGGCTGGTAATCTGCCTAGGGGTATCGTTGGTCAACAAGCAGAACGTCGCGTCACCAGCACCAATCACTAAAATAAAAACTGATAACGAGCAATCGAAGAAGACTATACCGATTTGTAGTCCTAACGAGCACATGGTAGATCTGATGCCGCAGAGTAATGAACCCCGACCGCCCCCAAACCTCTCTGAGAGAAGTGAGAAATACCCTGAAACGACAAACTCCAGCAAGACATCGCGCTGCCGAATCGAAAAAAAATACGGCCCTACCAGCCAAGCTGATCCTACACACCTGGAGTAGGAACTTGCATGAGGAAGAAGGGCAACTGGCTAGAGAGCAAGGACCGGGGCCGGCGTGTCGATGAATGACGAGTGTGTGAAGCATTTCCTCGCAGTGGCAGCCCGGAAAGAGTCCTTGTATCGCGAAAGCTACTGGGGTTCCACTACTGAAGAAAAGAAAGCGTCACGCTTGAACATGCAACTGTCACATTTGCACACGCGCGAACGCTTCCTTATCAGGCTTATGGAAAGCGACCCCTTTTTCCTAGCGCATCTCAGTTCAACGCGCCATAGCCCTTTTATATTTCAAGTCTTGATACTTCGGCTAGAGGCTCCTGTCAAGGAAAAAACGTTGTCTCGCGAGAAAGCTCAAACCACAGTAGACATCGCAGTGTAGGAAATGTCCATGTCGAGCAACTCAAAGATAGATGAACCGTTCCCGAACAAGCCCGAGGGGCGGTGCGAATGATCAAAAATTCCTACCACAAGGCATACAAATGCCCAGCATATCTGATATCAAGCCTTAAACCGCCTGGTTTGCATGAGTGCGTGACCCCTCGGCCCGCTAAGTCTGGCAAGTCGACAATGGATCCGGAGCAGAATATTCAGGAAAAAGCTAGAGACCCCGGCACAGATGGCTGCTAAAAACGACGACTGTAGGAACCGCAACTGTAGGAACCGCAACAGTTGCGCCGCGGGCATGACAATTGTTTAATGTCCGTTTAATTCAATTTGGAGTATACTCACCACCCCATGTGTGCCATTGCATGAAAGCAGCAGTTCACCATGTGTTACCATTGACAACATAACCTCTCTATAGTCGACTAAACGCCTAACAACTCAGATAAGAAGGCAACCCCAGTATTTCAGTGGCAGACACTCCATCGAGGCCCCTTCCATTTTGAAACCCTCGGGCCGAACACATATCGAATGTGTCTTACCTAGCCCAGTGCATGCAAACAGGATGACGACGATAAGGATAGCGGCGCCGTAGCTGTGAGTTGAGAGTCCCATGCCAAGCAGTGGATAAGAGTGAATGGATGGAATGGGATGGGATTTAATCAGCGGAAGAAATATCGGGTGAGCAGTGGGTTGAGATGAATCAGAAAGGAGTGTGAAGATCACATTCGCGATAAGCCAAGCTCGATGGATAATGCTTAAGCAAAGTGCCTTTAGAACGACCTTCCTGGCGATACCTACCGCTTCCAGCAGTTAGGAGTCCAAACGCGTTTGGTTATTGGATCGACGAATTAGGGGGTGATTGGTCGTATACATTAGTGAGCTCAACAATGAGACTCTTTTCGTTGTCTGCTAGGGATCCCGAGTGTTCTGCTCCTGAGAGGAGAATACGCGCAATTAATGTAAGGCGTTCGTGAGTGCGCAAGCTATCTATAACACGAAGTTATGAGTGCAACCATACACGAAATGCGAAACTACTACAGTGTAGGTTGCTTATTTTTGACGCCTCACTTTGCTTCCGAAGGACTTTCTTTCTCAGCTCGCAAAACTTGTTTAAACTGTATGGAAACTAGCGGAAAGGCAGCACTTTTAAGTACTTTACCAATGTATCAGAGCAATTTCGTGTAATTTTGAGTAATGAAAATTTTTTCTCAAAAAAATTGGCAGTGAATTAGGAAACGTGTTCAAATGATGTCCAACTGGTCCGAAATGACATGGATAGATGGTATTATATTTGAGTTGGTTACAAACAACACCAGTTTGTCTGTGCGGCATCGCAATCACGTGCTACCCGAGCGACAAGGTCCCTTAAGTCAAAATGCCTGCCTTAAATGCTCGCAAGCGCCAAGCACGCGAACAGAGGACAGGAAGCTCAAGGACATTTGGGAAGCGTCTTAAGCACTCAGATTTTGAGGGCGACTCCCCATCTGAATATGAGGACAATCCGGCTGCAAATTCAGACATCTCAACAGACTTATGCTCCGAGGGTGCCGATGCGACAGAGGAATCTGAAGAGGAAGACCATATAAGAAGCTTAGAGATATTTTACAGTGTCTTTGAGGAGCCAAGCCACCGAGGAGATGTTGAGAAAAGGACTCGGGAGGTATGTCCCATACACCCATAATGACCACTCAATATCCACTGTTCAAGGCGAAGCTCCGGAGCGCATATACTGGAGATTCCACTCGGACTCAGTATCGGGTGAAAGCAAAGCGCAGGGACCTAATGAAAGCGGCGACAACTTGTGATGCCGATATCCTCAGAAAGTTCTTGAGGCAGCCGGTCAGTCCTCATATCAGTTTCATTTTTCCAAGTGAGCACAACTGATATTTCTGGGAAGAACACCACAGAGAGAAGCCGAGAAAGCGCCATCATGGAATTTGAAGAGAGATTCACACAGTTGATGCGAGGTTTCGAGACAATGAGTTTGAAGGATGAGATGGTACGTGCATCTGTTACACACCATTGGACAGTATGCCAGAGCAATGTCATCGATCTCCCTGTAGGTCGGTGATGAAGAAGTCCAAGATGATATAGGCAGCAGCGCAGCACCGGAGGACATAGATGACGGAGAAGTGTTTGAAGATGGGACTTTGAACCGTGCCGGACCAGATACTCGACCACTTGCCACCACTGATGTGACCAATACAGAGCGCTCCACTGACATCCGCCAGTCCATTGAAGGCATTCTAACTGAAGAAGAACCCGAAGAAGATATCCTGGCCACTATACACAAACTCGTGAAACAAGCAACACGGATCACCTCAATGGCAACATTGAAAGAGATTATGGTCCTCACAGCGGTAGCTGGATATATACAGCTGTATCGAAAGCAGCGGTCCATTCCAGGAAGAAAGCACCAGAGACCTTTGCAGGCAGCAAGTCTTGCGGTGGCACAACGCATGGGAAAGGGCCCAGCATTTGCACGTAAAATCCGAGAGATGACACACCACATTAAACAATTCCGAAAGCTCCCAGAAAGGTGTCGATCAAAGAAAGGGGGTGCAAAGAGTTTTCTTCATAATGAAGCAGTGGTAATGGGTGTAAGACGGCATCTGGCAGAACAGCGCTTGGGCGAAGTAAACTTGAATCCATCTGAGTATCATCCACGACTCACTGCCAACATCTGATTAGGTGACAACTCAGAAATTAATGCAACATGTCAATGAGGTGCTTCTTCCCACCTTATTCCCTGAGGACACCAAGAAGACAATCAGTGAGCGGGCTGCTTGACGGTGGCTGTGGAAGTTGGGGTATCGAAATGTGGAGTCAAAGAAGGGGACATACACTGATGCCATGAACGGCCTGATGTTCTGGCATATCGACAGAAGTACCTCGAAAAAATGTCCACCAATAAGGGGTTTGGAAGGTATGTTAACTTGTACTGTATATATATTGCCATAAATTCTTACTTCAATGGGTCGATGGGTGTGGGTCAGATTCTTTCGCGAGTACGATGGAAATGAGATGGAGCCAGTCCCAACTGTCTTTGCTGACAAGGAACATATACCCGTGTTCCAGGATGAGAGTATATTTCATACTAATGAACACCGACGCCGTGTTTGGATAGAAAATGGCAAGCAGCCCCTCAAAAAGAAAGGCAATGGTCGTGCTATACATGTTTCCGATTTTATCACTGAGAAGGGTCGACTGGTCCTAACAGAGGAAGAAGAGATACGAAACCGAGAACGCCCAGCAACCACTCAGATTAAGTCTGATGCAAGAGTCATCACATATCCGGGGAAAGGTCATGATGTGTGGTGGGATGGTCAGCAACTTGTTAATCAGGTATGGACTTGAAATTGACGTAAAGTGCATAATTGATTATTTACAGCTGAAGGATGCAATTGATATATTTGAGTTCAAACACCCAGACTGTGTCGGAGTATGGATATTTGACTGCTCTTCAAGCCATGAGGGATTCGCCCCCGATGCGTTGAATGTGAATGGCATGAATGTGAATCCGGGTGGAAAACAGAAAAAAATGCGACCAACCATCATCCCACTCGACAACCCACCCCCATTACCAAACGAGGAAGATACTCGTGGCCAAGTACAGCTAATGGTCTACCCAGATGACCCAAGCATCCCTGCTGGGCTGCAAGGAAAGCCTAAAGGAATGCGCATTGTGTTGCAGGAGCGCCAAAGTGTGTGGAGGAAACTTGTTGCCGAAAGTCCAAATGGGAAGCCGATTGGGACCTGTGAGCAGTGCCGAAAGTCTCAAGCTGCAAAAGATGCAGAAGCACGC